TGTGATTTTACCCACCTTAATCCAAGCAAAGAAAACTAACACTGCCAGCATGTTGTTGTACATCGACTGCCAATAGCTGAGATATTCAAAATCAGCATAGACTTCTGGATTGACTAGCAGTGAATTTAACATTTCAGCAACTTCCATCGTACGATACACACTGAAGGCAATGCAGACAAGTGACAGCTACAATGGAACACAAAAATAACAAAATTACTAGCAGTGCAGATTAGTGGGTCTTTCTGCAAGACATGTGGCAAGTCATTGAAGAGTACGTCCATAGATGGAAAATGTCATTTTAAAAAGTCTAATGCATTTCCAATAATCACTGTAAGGTTGTGTTTCTGGGAAACAGTCGATCAGTTTACAATATTTTCCCAGTTTTCACAGTTTTAACTTTTGACAGGTGTTATAAAGAGAGAGTTTATGATAGGTTGTGTGTCATGTTTTTGGATTAATGCAATTTGGAATGATAAACATCAACAGTATTTACAACATTTTTAGTGATTTTAGTGGAATCACCAGCAAATCAAGCTGGAATTTTGGTTTCGCCTTGCCCCAATAATGAGCAAATCAAAGTGAATACAATTCATTGCAATTTTAGTGAAGCCTTACCCCAATGACCAGCAAATCAAGACAGTTCCATACACTCTTAAAGTAAGACCACCTGTTCATCTTAATTTCTAAGATCTCTTCCACAATGTAGTAGGCAATGAAAAGGCAGAATATGCCCTCACAGGCCATGATAAAGTAGTCAAAAGTATCCACATAACGCAACAATCTGACTGTACGGAAATCCCACGACGGGATAGCGCCACCAGTGGCAGGAAACTCAGTCACCAACCTTGAGAAGAAAGTAATCAATATACGTGTCATAATAATTAGGCAAAATTTTTTTATAAAAAGTTATTGCTTCAACATATTTATACCGAGGCTACTCATATTGCCTGCAAGCCTGACGACCATTCAGCTGGTTACTACACTAGTACTAACAAGTTAGAAAAGTGTTCGCCTCCATGTTCAGTGGTTGACGGCGATGTTGATTGGCTGATAAATATAGCACACCACTAATCTGAATATGCAATTTTCCAAACAATGATGACAGATGTCTTCCCTACATGCTACATGTATATCAACTGTTACCACAGCCATGAAAATCTGATTGTCCAATTCAAAATAATATTACAATTAATTCATATGGTTAATAATAAGCAAAATATTCAAGGTCCAATGATGTCTAAAAAAATCCAGACAAACATGACCAAGATCAGGTTCTGGAATGACAAAAATACTTGATTTTGATGTATTTTTAAATATTAAAAAAGTCATCCAGTCATATTGAATCTAAATATTTGATCATGTGTTACATGATGTGTTCATAAAGCTCAAATGTAACCAGTCCAGGTATATCCAAGATAAAGGGTGGACACACAGTACACACACACGCATGCACACACACGCACACACACACACGCACGCACAATATATAGGTTTCAGACTGCATACAAACAAGGAGTAATTACTTAATATTCATTAACCATTTAGACATTAACAAAAAACACCAATTTTAAATTCTGTGATAACTTACCTGATAACACAGAACAGATTGATATTAGCATTATAAACAGTGAAGTCTATAAACACTACCCGAGTTCCTCGATCCAACCATAGATACTCCTTTAGTTCTAAAATCTCTTCCAGCGATGATGCTTTATCATGGTTGAGATCCAGATAATACCCACCTCCACCGTAAGTGGCCAACTGCCCCCAGTGACTAGAGCCATCTAGCTCCTCCTCAGTTGAATACTCCCATCTGTCAAAAAAACAAAAATGAATTTGTTAAATACTGTGACATGTATTGTAGGAGAGCCCCATATCCAAAACACTGGAATGTAGCACTTCATTTCAACATACTGGCAATTCTTTACACTTCAGAGATTTTTAAAATTCAAAATAGTAAGGTGGTCAGCCCTCATTGTTTCCTCATAATACATTTCATGAATTCTTACTAACCTGAATGTCTAACCTCTTCATCATACTACGTTTGATTTGAAACGGAGAAAATTTTGTCACTTTCGATTGTCCAAATCATGAAGAGAGGTAACTTTTTTTGAAGTTTTGCATATTACTATGTATTTTTAAAGAAATAAGAAAACAAGTATGTGGGTTTGTTAAAGGTTATTTGGCATTCAAAAGTGTTACAAGCTGATTACAGTGAGCGCAGAATTTCCGAATACCAGCTACTGCGCTGATTGCTTGTTGTGGGTCATTTCAAAACACAGGCATAACATCTGCACAGAAAACCATTCCACAAAGTGGCCGGCAAGTAGCTGACTGTTTTACTGACCAAGGGTATTAAGAAATGTTACACACAGGTCAAAAACTAGATCAGACTAAATGGTTTCTAGAGAGCTGCACCTTGCTTTATCTGTAATAAACTGATGGAGTTAAAAGCCTATAGTTTCATTCAACAAGATATTTATATTTATTTATTCCATGTATCATGTGACATATTTTTGATATCAAACCCAAAATATTTGGGCTATTGTATTGATAGCAACAAAAAACTGCAAAACAGATAAATATGATAAATAGCGTCTCCAATTCATCAGTGTAATATCAGATTCATCAAATTCGTGTAGTAATTATCATATGTTTCTTGCCCAAAGGCTTGGAACATACAACAATCACTACATTCGATATCACATGGTCACACATTGGAGAACCTCTATATCTGTAAATCCAGATATAACGGCAGTTTCACACAAGATGATTCTTAAGGAAACTGCGAGCTTCTCATTGTTGGTTAACCAGGCACACAGACATAAATAATCAGTGATAACTACTTACGCTGTGCCATTCATTTTCCCAAATGGGGTTCTCTCTTCAACACTCTCTGAATACTCATCATAGCAATACTTGATTTCATCTTCAAAATCAGAGTGAACTTCACACGAGTTATTCCGCACTTTCAGCTCTCTGATACGTGGTACTCCAAGTAATTTGTTTTCATAGTATATAAATCCCAATTCCTCCTCAGTCAAGTTTTCACCGTTGTACCATTGTTCCCAATACAAGCCATTGACCAATGGACCCTCTGCAAACTGTGTTAGGAAATAGAGTACACATTAGTTGATTACACATTTCGATATATGCCATAGCCTTTTTCACAGTATGTTTTTACACAGTACAAATCATTTTTGAAAAACAAAATGACAAAAATTTGCATTGTTAGAACAATTTTCATGCAAAAGCATACGTCATAAAAAATTAATAGTTTTCTCCAGAATCTCCTAATAATTCATGGCAATCAGATTACCCATCACAGAAAGATTTTTTCAGATATGACAAGAATACAATTAACCATTTTCCATTCACTGCGAGAATTACGCGTGAAATCGAACGTAAAAACAGGATAAACAAAGGTCATAGCTTGAGATTCAACAAACGCAAAAGTATTTGGGGAATATTTCCATGCTTAATAATGTGCTGTACACATTTGATGATAGGCAATTCCGATGAAGTAAGGGTATTCAAAAGCAATATTCCTCTGTCGAAGATCGGCCGGTAGGTAAGCTACGAAATAAAGAAATTCGAGTTCAAAATCAAATTGTTCGATTTTTGTGGCAGACGTTCGACACGCGTCTTTCATTCAACTTACGAGATCTCTCAGTTGAACGGAAAATCACCTATTCTTGAAGTGGGTATCATTGTCATTAATAATTTCAACTTATTCTTCGTATTATTTAAATGTAAGGTGGTTTTAAAGCAAGCATGAAAGCAAGCAGTTAAAAGCTAGCTCAACGTTAAGTCACACTCTAGGATACACTCTAGTACGAGTAATGTTTGCATAATGGCTAGACCGAGTTGGATTCACACACGGAAGAGAAAACCGAAGTTTCTCTGGGCAGTAACTAACGATGTATACAATGTAGCTCTTTAGTTATACCATACAATAACAATGCAAATGGAGAAAGGGCTTGAAGTTCTCAAAGACCATGTAATTGATTATCTACATGTACATTTCCTTCAATATTTCACAATTTCCATCAGTCAAAGGCACTTTTAGAAATGCTGGCATTCAAATCAGATGCCCCCACATACTCATTAGTTCAAGCGCCAAAAATACATACAAATACCTTAACACTAACTGGGGTTTTACACAAAATCCACATAAGCAGAGGATGTTTAAAGTGACAGTATACTTCAAATTGAACAGCCTTCTTGATGTATAGTTTTTAGTGGGTGATGACATGATTAGCCAACTTTTTAAATGATAACAATTTATCAAGATTCATTCATCATAAGCTAGTAATAAAAATAGTCAAACAATTTGTAATTACCGTTGGTGACTGGAAGTTTTAGCTCTAATGAAACATTTTAAAACATTCAGCTGCATATCTGGCTTTATTTAAATTCCATTTTTTTGTATAAACGAAGTACATGTTATGATTTTTTTTTTTTGATGAATATTGTTGATCAAATATCAAATTTTGTTTGAGGCCTTTGGCAAGTGACATATTATGCATTGCATTATACAATAAAAGCAAAAGGTATTTGTAATATGTAGGTGCCAGAGGTGTTTTGACAATAGTCTGAACTGTTCCATGCATAGATTTGGTTATGATCAAGGTTTCCGCATCTGAGATTGCCATGAAGCCAATGAAGCACACACAGGATTCCCTGTCTGACAATCAAAGATGGACTACCGGGGTATATTACAAAATCAAGATACTCGATGTGAAGCATTTTTCAGATGCACACCAGACTTTTCTTTTACTCAGTAAACTAAAAGTATAGTTTAAGCTTTCAAGCTGGCTATCGAGTGGCTTTCAATTTTCATAATTTTTAAAGCAAGTATCATTGGCTTCAATAATTTTTCCTCATTGTCGTAAATACCCTTGTTACTGATACAGTTGCATGAGACACATCCGAGTGAACTTCAAACATTAAATATTAAGTTCGTTGTGTTTAGCATGCACTCGAAGAAGACATCAAAACAGCAATGCATCATGGGATTTATAGTAATGAAGGCAATAATAACTATAAAGTTAATAAATGATGCAACACATCAGGCTTGATCAATATTATAACTCGTTCAACCAGGCCTGGTTAATGTCAGGATAGTGTACTCAATTGCCATAATGCCATTATGATAGGAAGATGGTCACACAGCCCTGTCATGTAGTCCCAAACAGGAATATGGTCTCTGTGGCAAAATGCCTTACATGTCAGCACTGACACATAAAAACAGTCAGCAGAGAAAACAGTGACATTCAATGTCCGAAACTGTAGCCTGGCACAACAATTTATTTAAAAATAAAAAAACAACACTTGAATTGAAAAGCATTTTAGTAGCAGTACATGTACAACTTAAAACAATGTTTAAGCATGAAATTTAATGATGTCATACCGTAGTTTACTATAAGAAATCTTAAACGTATCTCTGTGAAAGCAGCTGTGTACTCATAAATTATAGTGGTTAATTCAAAACAGTTATTACTCTCATCAATAACCTTCTTGTATGCTAAAAATTCAGACTAGAAGATCTGTATATATCATATTGCAGTCAGTTTTGATTCTGGAAATTGTTTAATGTCAACCTCTAGTATTGGAGTTTGGAAGACCAGACTAATTGTTTTACAAAACAGTCGTAATATTTTTTCACACAGGAAGACCACACATAAAGTGTTCCATTTGATGTATGGTTTCTGTTTGCAAGGATGTTATTTTAACATATTAACCTCAACATGGATAAATTGGAATACACATATTTGTTTGTTATCTCCCGCATTCATTTCTTTTGAGTAAATGAGCACTGCGATAATAAAAGTAGCGTTTTGTATTACCATACAAAAACAAATCATATTTAAATCAGATTGAAAAGTCACCTTTTTTCATGCCTTTATTATTAATGCTATTACTGAGTAGGATCCAAAAAATGAAAATTTTCAGTGAAACAAGAGTCATGTCATGAAAAATGGTCAAAATTTCCACGTTTGCATTTGTTATGGTGAAATTATATTTCAATATGATATCTCAAATTTTGTTATTGGTGATATAAATCCCGATATTGTTAAAACATTTCGAAAAATTGATACTGAATTTAGTCAGTTTCTAGTGAGATTTAGTTTTCTCTCATAATGCACAGCGAGTATGTGCAGTAACATGCTCAATAGTGCAAAATTTGAAGTTTTCTCCCATAATGCATTGCATATATGTGCAGTAACATGCTCAGTAGTGGAAAATTTGAATTCAGCTTGGACTGCAGATTAAAAGAATAATTTATTGTTGTACTGACACTGCTGCTGTAAGGTTGCTTGTTTTTGGTTTTCCCAAATAGCACAACACCGTGGCTAATTTACATATTAAAACAATGTACATGTCATTCACCTATACAGTATTTGCTCTATTAGTAGCGCATACATGAATGTCAGTGGTGTGTTGATGGAACAAAAAACAACTAATATTTGAACAATCCAGTATACTATTTAATGCTATTGATTATTTACAATCATTTCTATTACAGTTGCACTTCTAATTAAGCAAATATCGTTGTTATAATTGTTATGCAAAGTCCATTGTGCAATTATTCAGTGGCATGCCTTGCTCTAATATTAAGACAACCCTGACTATTATGTCTTTTATGGTATAAAAATAACATGCAGGAAAATTATTTAAAAATAACTGAACAATTTTCATCATTTCTGAATGTATACATGTACTTCCACCATTTGATTTTGGTTTGAATTTCATTTCATTTGGTCTATTCTGAGTTAAGTAATATCTCATAAATAAATGTGTATTAAATTACAATCACATCAGGGCATTAGCCAAGAATTAGAAAGTGCCTTTCGAAAAATACGCTAAAAGGACGACTTTGGGCATTATATCTGACAAAATCTTCAAAAAACAAACACTATTTCTGATTCATTGTTATGTCTCTGTACATGATAGAAATAAGCCTGATGAGGGCGCTATAACCACACGACTCAAAATGTAAAAAAAGTCAGCAGATTTTCAGAATATTAATCAGAAGGAAACAGAGTAATAAAGTAAAAAGTAAAATGTGCTGTTATCATCGAATGCATCAACACAAACATTTAAAAGACGATGGACTTGATTTAATGTTTAGCATTTTGAAGAATTTTTAATGAACTTTGATCAGTACTGTGCTGATGAAGTCTGATGATTTACGGAACGTTTGGTCTCTTTCAAAAAAAAATTGTTTCTGGTCAAGGTGAAGCTATTTTTTTTTTTTGCTGAAATATTTGACAGCGCACAAATTTCACAAGTTTAATCAATTTTTCAACAGAGGGCGCTGTACAGTGGTGAATTGAGTGAGAAGATTTTTTTTGTGGTGTACACACACCAGTAGCACAAATTGGTTTTTTGGTTGAGCCTTAAAAGAGCTACTGGAAATACTGTGATATAATGCGGTGAAGAAGATATTACCAGAGACCACACCTAGAAAACTGAGTATTAGCAATTACAGTTTGTCACACTCGTTGAAATAGCAAAAACATGTATGTAGGTCTCAATGTGTTTACTGTGATACCCAGTACCACATAAGTGTTCTGATAGCTGCCCTCTGACCTGGCAGGTCAGTGATGTCGCTGATCAAAATGCCGCAACACGTTGAAATGCACCATGATCGACAAAAGCAATGGCGTCAATTTTGTTTTAAAAATATGCAAATAGTTTTCTGAGTAAGGACTTGACAATTGCAGATAATACTTACCCTCCACCAATCCAATGCATTTGTCATGCCACGGAATGTGTTCTTCGTATCCGGGAACTGAGTGTCCAGGAACAGCTCAGACATGACTTTAGTGTAATAGTACATTGTTGAACTGGTCATTCCAAAGGTCACTGTCAACAAAACATCATTATGTTTTAATAAGATAACATTTTACAATACTCTTCTCAATAATGGATGACATTTTACAGCAAATCTGTTATATAAATGATACATGTATGAAATCCACACTCAATTTAACATTTTAGTAAAAGACATAGAAAGCTATCATACATAAAAGTTTTAATGGCTTCTACATTTTATTGAAAACCCTTGACATATGAAACAACCTTAAGCCATATATCAAATGACAAGTGATAGTATTCAAAAGACATCAAGGTGAGAAATTTCAGGCAAGTAGCCCCAGGGAGGATTTCAACTCTGAGTTATCAGTGACTTGACTATTTCTTGATGACTATTTTCTCATGATGTCAGTTGAGTGACTTTAAACATCAAACATTACGAACAAAAAACATAGATGTCAAATTCAAAACACCAATGCAGATTTCACAAAAAAAAAAAAAAAAAAAAAAATTTTAAAGAATCACATTTCTGATGCTTTAGATTACCTGTGCAACACATCAAACATATCCATATCACTTCAAGTTAGATAAACACATTTAAACACCCCCCCCCTTCCAATAACACTGTATAATAAAACCCTGTACATAAACGCTGGGGGCCAACAATATCTGAGTTCACTTTCACATGTGCTGGCACAAAATGATTAGAAAATGAAATTGAATTTGTTGGAGATTGCGAAACCTAATTGCATTTATAACAAGAATATACATTCAAACTTTAGCACTTAAATCATAAAATAACTAGAGGCGATACTCTAAATTACTGGGATAATATAACACACACGAAAATGAAAGTCATTAATAATATGAGTGAAAAATGATGTGCAGTTTCTGTATGATTGCAGGTTTAATTGATCATTCATAAAGAAAAATGGAACGGCGCGCCATCATGAATACTGCACTTCATTTAAATTTATTGGATATCAAAATGCGTATACACGCTAGCTTTGGCATTTTGATAAAATCTATGCGATATTACGACAGAATCACAGAATTTATGTTAGCCTTCCATTTGGCATATTGCTAATAACAGTCGAACACATGAAACTTTAAAGTTTAATTGTCAGCATAATTTAGTCGAAAGCATTTTCATTTTTGAGTAACTTGAACGTAAATTGAATCTGAAAGTTACGGCATTCATGCATTGATATTAGTATTTGCTGCATTATATTCTGTCATGCATTGCTCTTTCGGATTTGATCTAAACACAATTAACCAAGTAAGGACAAACCTAATAGCTAATAATAATCTGCTGTGCATTTCAGAAAAAAGCTTTGCATAGAATTTTGATTTTGTGACATGAAACATCTTCGATTGTCAAACCCTACGCGCAACTCAGTGACACCCTAAGATGCTAAAAACTGAATCACAATCTCTGGAAATACTTGGTATTTTCGGCTACTGGAAAGAAACTTAAGATGCAGATATCTTCAGTTGCATTTAGAGTGAGGTAGTCGTCACCTGCAAATGCCAAAAACGGCCATAGCATACTGTTGTTTACAAACAAGGGTCTACCCACTTTTAGCGCATGTTCTTATCGTCGTTTTGGACTCAATTCCGGCGTATGCGCAGGTGACACCCCTCCACTTTAATATATAATGCATATTACTTCACAGGCCGAAGGCTTTAAACAAAATGTTGATGACAATAAATGTGTAGATCTATTTTGAACATCACATCTAAACTCAAAATTATCACCACTCAGAAATTGAAAACGCAATATCGACACAAACATGTTTTTTTTTTTTAATATTGCTATTTAATAATCAGACCATGATTTATCATAAACAGAAAACAACAAACAGAAAATTACATTGCGTTGAAAGCATTGTGCGTTTGATTTAGTTATCCCTGTATACAGTGATTGCTTGATTCAGTCAATGCTTTATATTTCATTTTTACTTGTACGATTCTCGTTAATGTCACAAAATGTTAAATTTATGAGAAAATGTGTTTACACCAACTTTCCTTAAAATACTTTTCACTTAGAGATTCAAAAATGAGCAAAACAGGAATTGATCATCAAGGTATTTCCATGGAGATGATATTTTTATATCAGTACTTCGTAATATTGTTAGCTCGACAATATGGCAATTTTGAATAATGATTAGAATGATGAAGAACAGCTTGACTCATCTTACCCAAAAAAATACGGATAAATTTTTCTAATGAAGTGCACTTAATGATATTTATAAATAATTACAAAATAATGTCACAAACAATCTCGATCAATCTGGCTAGACTCAAATGATCGCGAGTGACGACAAGAAACTTCTCTGTACGCTAAAAGAACGGAAATGCATCATAATTTGAAAATGTTTTCCTGTTAGGGTTTTACCACTTGAATTTACAAATGAGAGTGAGGAAGAGAAATAACAACCAGAGAATGCCGTCACAGTTGGTTACCATGGAGACACTCGTTTGTTTGTACACGTACAACTAGCAACCTGAGGCAGGTGTAAAAAGAAGGAGCCGGAAAGACAACAAGGACGCACAAAGAAATTATTGATTTGACTAGCTTTTTAAGGCTTTCAAAGACTTAAGTAAAAATTCAACTCATTTCAGATGCAAGCGTGCCTTTCATTCCAGGTATTTTAGTTTACTTCAAGTTAAAGTGGATTTCACAGAAATAAATATTAAATTTCTTTAAGTTCAGTAATGGATATTGTGTAAATCCTTCACAAATCTGTTAGAAACCCTGATACCTTAATGTTGTGGTTAAGTCCAATATTCCTTTATTAGTTAGAAGCTTACTCATAAACCAAAATACTCAATTTATTCACTTCAATAAATTGTACTCTCGGTCAATATAAGGATACTGGCCTAAAAAATCTTTAGGATCACCTATTTTTTGATAAAATGATAGTTTTTTTAGTGAAAGGAGATATTTTGTTCATATAATGTAATAATGCTTTTACCATTGGTTGCTATGGTGGAGATGTCATGCCATATCCTAAATTGTTGCCTGATACCACAGGGTGAAAAAATTATGTATCGTGGGATAATTTCTGACTTATAAAAACCAGTACTCAGCGGTTAATATGCATAATACTGCCATCCAATTTGAATACATGTTTTGCAACAATAATAAGCCATTGAAAAATGACACAGTCCCCTATGTTCTTGTATTTTAATATATGACAAATGAAATGTCATCATTTATATGTTTTTTTTTGCTACAAGTGGGTCTACCAGTTCTATGTTCAAACAAACTGTCAAAGACAATTCAATGTTGTGAGATTCCTAATGTCTGTATTCGCAAAATGTAAAACCAAATGGCAGCCTTGTCAGCCATCTTGGATTGAATGACGCAGAAGAACTTACGTTGATGTGCTTGAACAAAACTGTCTGTGAACCAAATTTGGACCTGATAATTTTTGATATTTTGTACAACTTTTGGTTTAGTTTTCGATTTTAATTTCACATTATTTGTGCTTTGGGTAGATAACCTAAATAACACTTTCTTGTAGGATTTTTTAGAATTAAGCAATCAACGAGAAGAACAGATACAATATAACGAGGAGGAGAAATATAGATCTATACTTTCATGGAACAAGAAAGGTGAAAGTTCTGTTAGGATCTCAATGATGATGACAATTAATGATGACACCCCCTCTTCAAATAAAAAGAAAACCTGTGGTCTCCTAAATTACTTCTACGTACATACAGCTGCAATACATTCATCCATCTTTCAGAGCAAGGTACACTATGATGGCATTATTACATGTACATGCTTAAATCTACACCCAGAAACAAAATACATTCAATCATGATGGTTACAAGAGCGAAATGTTCATCTCAGGAACATCACAGTTTGCACATTATTGCTTACATCTCCATGCTGATGTTTTTCAGCTTCAAAAACACAAAATGTGCACTACCGGTATTTGATTTTCAGCCATCTTGAATCAGATCGTAAAACAAAATGATGTGCATCAAGGTCCTATAATGTCCAACATATATACAAGTTTTGAACAAATCCATCTGTAAACAGCCGGGAAATGCTTGATTTTGATGATTTTAAGCATAAAAATGGCCGCCATTCGGCCATCTTCAATCAGATCATGAAACAAATTGACGTGCATACGTATGATATCATGTATGATGTATGTGTGAAGTTTGATTGTGATTGGTCCAG